TTAAAATGAGAATTGCAGTGTTGCAGTCTCCGTTTAACCCTTCTGTAATAGTGAGCACACAAAATGTGAATGACATATCCCGCATTTGTGGAATACAACGTCCTACTGGTATTGTGCCACAAGTTCCATTATCTGACATTGAGGATGCACTTCCATTAGAAATGAACGTTGGTGAACATCGGTGAGGAAACACATCTTCATTAACCTTCTATTAGTTTTGTAGATATAATCAGCAGTGAATATTGGGACATTGGTGATCTCAATTACGATTGTGAACATTGTGGGGCATTGTTTTGGTATGATGAAAGATTGGTGCGAAGTTCTACTAAAACAAGCCCTAAGTATTCTCTATGTTGCGGTCAAGGGAAGATCCAATTACCACCACACAAAGAGCCTCCAAAAGAGTTGTGTGATTTGATGAATGACACAGATCAAAAATCCAAACACTTTCAGGATAATATTCGATCATACAATAGTATGTTTTCTTTCACATCAATGGGCGGAAGGGTTGATCAAACAATCAATAAGGGTGGGTCACCTCCAGTTTTTAAACTTGGCGGTCAAAACTATCATCTCATTGGGAGTTTGTTGCCCGAGGAAGGAAATGTACCCAAGTTTGCGCAATTGTATATCTATGACACGCAGCATGAAGATGCTAATCGCCTGACCTCAGTGGGGTAATAACCTAATGCAAGACAATTTTTGTTTTCATTTTCATTATGTCATTATCCTAAACAATGTTGTAATTTCCTTCTCCAACATTAGGGATAATGAACGAAAGAACAAATTGCATGCTGATATTGTCTCTACCCTAAGGCAAATGTTGGATCAACATAACATTTTGGTCAAGTCTTTTAGGATGGTTAGAGATAAGATTGCAGAATGTGGACATTCTAATGTTAACTTGAAGTTAATTGGCCGGAGAGGTAGAGATGCTAGAACATACAATTTGCCTACGGTGTCTGAAGTTGCGGCTTTGATAGTTGGTGACTTTGATGAATCTTTGGGGCAAAGAGACATAATGGTGGAAACTCAAGGGGGTGTTTTGAAACGAATCAATGAGTTGAATCCTGCTTATTTGGGGCTTCAGTATCCACTACTGTTTCCTTATGGTGAAGATGATTATAGAGAGGATATAAGTTTTTCAGATTCTAATAGTAGCAGCACTAAAGGTCGCCGAAGTGTTAGCATACGTGAATTCCTAGCATATCGATTACATGATCGTGGTATTGAGAATTCCTTTATACTCAAAGCTAGGAGATTGTTTCAACAATTTGTGGTAGACGGTTACACGATGGTTGAATCATCCAGACTCACTTATATAAGATTGCATCAAAAGCAATTAAGATGTGAAATGTATAAAGGCCTTTCCGAGGCGTTATTGAGTGGTGAACGAGATGCTTCTACCCAAGGAAAGAGAATAGTCCTACCACCGACATTTGTTGGAGGGGCCAGATACATGGTTCAAAACTATCAAGATGCAATGGCTATATGTCGATGGGCTGGATATCCAGATCCTTTCTTGACCTTCACTTGCAATCCTAAATGGCCTGAAATTGTTAGGTTCCTTTCAGAAAGGAATTTGAATCCTGAAGATCGGCCTGATATAATCTGTCGAGTATTCAAGATGAAGTTAGATGGATTGATCAAAGATCTCCGACAAAATAAAATCTTTAGTGATGTTAGAGAAGGTTTGAAATATATCTATTATAAATGGTTAATAAAGTAATTGTTCATCTTATATAATAAATGATTACAATGGCTGTTATTGTTTAATGCAGTTGTTTACACTATTGAGTTCCAAAAACGTGGCCTCCCACATGCCCATATATTGTTGTTCATGGGAAATGCAGACAAATTTCCCACTGCTACAGATATAGATCGAATTATATCGACTGAAATTCCTGATGAGTCAAGTGATCCTGATTATTTTAATGTTGTGCGAATGCATATGATGCATGGACCGTGCGGGAGTGACGCAAAAAACGCCCCGTGCATGGTTAAGTCTAAATGTTCTAAACACTTTCCAAAGAAGTTCAATATACAAACTAACATTGACGATGATGGTTATCCTAAGTACATGAGACGGGATGATGGCAAAACGATCGTGAAGAACCGTGTTCCACTTGACAACCGACATGTTGTTCCTCATAACAGGTATTTGTTGATGAAGTATGGTGCTCATCTTAATGTAGAGTGGTGTAACCAATCAAGGTCTATCAAGTATCTTTTCAAATATGTGATTAAAGGCCATGATCGCGTCACAACTGCATTTTATGAGGCCGCAAATAAGGATGATTCAGAAAAGCCTGTGGATGAAATCAAATTGTACTATGATTGCCGATACATTTCACCATGTGAGGCAATGTGGCGTATATTAGGGTTTGAAATACAATATAAGAATCCATCGGTTGAGCGTTTGAGCTTTCACTTTCCTGATGAGCAGTATGTATATTTTGAAGACGAGGATGCGATGACAGATGTTGTACAACGTGAATCTGTTAAACAAAGCATGTTTCTGGCATGGATGAAGGCCAATGATCAGTATGAAGAGGCTAAAAATTTAACTTATGCTGAATTCCCTCAGAAATTTGTTTGGAAACCTAAAACAAGGGAATTTGTTCCTCGCAAAAGGGGTTTTGCTTTGGGTCGAGTGGCATATGTCCCACCAGGATCAGGAGAATCTTATTACATGCGATGTATCCTCAATTTAAAGCGTGGTGCTACGTGTTTCGCTGATTTACGGACTGTTGACGGAGTTTGTTATGATTCATATCGTGACACATGTTACGCATTGGGTTTGTTGGACGATGATCGAGAGTACGTCGAAGGTTTTACGGAGAGTAGTTTTTGGGCTTCAGCATGGGGACTAAGAGTTCTATTTGTCACATTGTTATTAGCAGATACAATGAGTAGACCTGAATACGTTTGGGAGAAATGTTGGAATTTCATGTCTGATGACATTCTACTAAGACATCGACGAGCTTTGCTACATCCAGGTTATTAAAACATAATTTATTTTTTCATCCGATTTATGTTTGTAAAATGTTAAATAAAACTTTTGTGGAATTAAATGAAAACTATTTGTTATTGTAGAATTAATGTTGACGGAAGACGAAATCAAGAATTATGCATTGCTTGAAATCGAAACAATGTTGAGGACTCGGGGAAGAAGCCTAAGGGACTACCCATCAATGCCATTCCCTAAGTGCAGTAACGCAACAATGTTTCATAACAGATTTATTTTTGATGAGTTACAATATGATCATGCCGAGATGCGTGAACAACATGAAAAATGCATGGAGAGTTTGAATGAGCAACAAAGTGAAGTGTACAAGACTATTATGGAATCCATTGAAGAGAACAAGGGTGGAGTGTTCTTTGTATATGGGTACGGGGTACAGGAAAAACGTTTATTTGGAAAACGTTGTCAGCAGCTTTGAGGTCAAACGGTGAATTTGTTTTAAATGTGGCCTCAAGTGGGATTGCTTCATTATTATTGCCTGGTGGAAGAACTGCTCACTCACGTTTTGCAATACCAATAAACCCAACAGAGCATTCAACATGCAACATCAAACAAAACAGTCCACTAGCCCAATTAATAATTAGGTCTAAACTTATTATTTGGGATGAGGCACCGATGATGCATAAATTTTGTTTTGAAGCTTTGGACAGAAGTATGTGTGACATTCTCATGGTTGTTGATTCTCGAAATAATGATAAGCCGTTTGGAGGAAAAACTATTGTCTTTGGAGGAGACTTTAGACAAATCTTACCGGTGATTGCCAAAGGTACAAGACAAGACATAGTTAATGCCACAATTAATTCTTCATACATATGGCAAGATTGCATTGTTTTATGCTTAACAAAGAACATGAGACTACAATCGTTAAGTGACGATCATGATTATGCCGACTTGGTTGAGTTTGCGGAGTGGATAGCAAGTTTGGGAGATGGAACAGCAGGTGGTGAAAATGATGGATGTGCTGATATACAAATACCAAGTGACATTTTGCTTCAAAGTGATGAAGACTTTATTGCAACTATTGTACGTAGTACGTATCCTCATTTTGAAGCTATGCCTACTGACCCGTCGTTCCTAAAAGAACGTGCTATTTTGGCCCCGACGCTTGATGTTGTTGACTCAATTAATGAGTACACGACTGCATTGAATGTTACAGAGGAATGTAGGACATATTTGAGTTCTGATAGCATTTGCAAATCTGACTCTAATTGTGATATTTTGGCTGATTTGAATACACCCGAGTTCTTGAATAAGATACGTGTTTCCGGTGTTCCAAATCATGAGTTGACTCTAAAGGTAGGTACTCCGGTTATGCTTCTGAGGAACATTGATCATTCCATGGGCTTATGCAATGGAACGAGGTTAATAATTACAAGGCTTGGAAATCATGTTCTTGGAGCTACAATTTTAGGAGGAAAATTTGATGGTCAAGAAGTAGTCATACCGAGATTGACATTAACACCTTCAGATGCAAGAATACCATTCAAGTTCCAAAGAAGGCAATTTCCAATCATGGTTTCTTATGCGATGACTATAAACAAGAGTCAGGGACAATCTCTAACGCATTTTGGACTTTTACTAAAAAAGCCGTGCTTCACTCATGGTCAACTTTACGTTGCAGCGTCAAGAGTTACCAATCGCAAAGGCTTGAAAATATTGATTTGTGATGAAGATGGCAAACAAATCGATCATACTACTAATGTTGTTTACAAAGAAGTCTTTCATAATTTATTGTTTCACAATGAACACTTATTAGTTTCATCAGGACTTTATACTTTGAAATGTTATATCTCTCATAATACTTTATACAAAGAAGTCTTTCATATTACTTCACTTTATTATGAGTTCAATTATTTAAACGCTTTTATAATAAAATTCTTAAACACAGAATAGTAAAATTTCATTCGCGCATCGCGCGAGTGAGAATCTAGTTAATTAATTAACTAACGTTAATTCGGAAAATATGCAAAGGCAACAAAAACACAATTAGTTCCGATTTCCAAATACCTTCTCATTTTCCTTGATTTTGTAGTCCCTAACCGAAGCAGCATGATGTCCTTCCTTCACAAATGCTAAATCCGTATCCCTAACCGCCGGCTCTTTCCTGCTTCCCCACGGCTCGTCGGCGTCTGCTCCTCTTCCCAGTCTTCTGCTCGTAGGTATGCACTTACCTAAACTCATTCGACATGTGCAATTCTTTTAACGTCATCAGGCATTTGGATTAATACGCAGAAGTACATCTGCTTCCTTTCCCAGGGCTTATCCGGGAGAAGCTTTTCGAAAAAAGAAAAGAAAATGGCTTCTCTCTTCAAGGTAATGCACAAAGCATCTCTGAATTATATATCCTCATGTGGATGGTGGTCGGGTTTTGTATTTACATGGTTCAAATTCGTGAATCAATTATTTGCACTTCCATTAGTACTTTAGCTGATTATACTGCCGAGTAGGCGTGAATTGTACTTATTTCCCACCAGACGGAGGAAAGATTCAGTTAATTATATTATTATGAATTTGAAGTAAATGGAAAAAATACTGTATAAACATTGAGATTTAGGGCGTTGATTTTTTCTATACTTTGATGTCAGTATTATGTCTCTTTATCCTCATGCTTTGTAAAAAACTTCATTTTTATTCTTATTGTACTTAGACTACTTACTGATCTGCAATGGTTAGGATCTGAGCAAGATATCAGCCTATAGAGATAGAAGGTTCCAGGGTTCACAGGAAGAGTTTGACGAAGCTCTGCTGAAATCTACTACTGTCTATGTGGGCAATATGTCCTTCTATACAACTGAAGAGCAAGTTTACGAGTTGTTCTCACGCACCGGAGAACTTAAAAAGATAATCATGGGTCTTGACAAAAATAGCAGAACTCCATGTGGTTTCTGCTTTGTAATGTACATGCCTAACCTGATTCCTCTGTTATCCTTTAGTTTTTCATATGATTGTGTACAATGGATTAGATCTTCAAGATCAATGGGGTAGCCTGTGTACTTTAGAAGTGGGATTTTCCTCTCAAGAGACACAGGAAAGTCCTCCTTTTATTGGAGAAAATGGGTCTTTGCACCCCATTTCCCCCCAATATTTATCTTTGCTCCCTATGTTTTGTTTTATTTGAAGTTTCAACATGCACCCCAGGTAAGATGCATAGTCAATCATGGGGTAAAAAGTCTAATGATTGGTGTGCATATTTACAAAAAATAAAACATAGGATGCAAAATCCAATTTTCCACGTGTATTGCCCCAAGCATTCTTCTGGTGGTTCTTAAACATTTTTCAATGTTCAAAATGAATGAAACTTTTCATTTTGTATTGTTGATTGTTATCAAGTAGTCAACAAAGTTTTACCTGAAAAATGTTGCCTTGCTATTAAATTTTAGCCATAAGACAGCATCCAGGTTGTAGTTCTTGATTCTTTTTTTCCAGTTAAACTAATTAACTTTTGTGTGATGCTACTAAGTTGATATATCAATTAATTGTGAGATAAAATATCACATATATACTAATCTGAAACAATTCTCATACCAGGTACTACTCTAGAGAAGATACTGAAGATTCAGTTAAATATATAAGTGGGACAATACTTGATGATCGTCCTATTCGTGTAGATTTTGATTGGGGTTTCCAGGAAGGTAGACAGTGGGGACGCGGTAGAAGTGGAGGACAGGTAATGCCTCCTTGCTTTTGTTATTATTTAATGTTAACATAGATGGTTCAATTTCTCTGATCCTTGATCGTTGAAAAAATTCAGGTTCGTGACGAATATCGCACTGACTATGATCCAGATATCCTTTTGAAAGTTGCAAAGTCTTTGACTCTTTACCTCGTCCATCATTGATTTCCTTCAGTCCTGGCTTAATATGTGTATTACTTTTATTTTTTAGGTATTAATACGAAATATGCTTTTACTTTTCTTGAGTATCCCAGATCAGTTGTTTGATGTGTTTGAGTCAATGGATATATCGATAAAGTAAAAATGTCACCACTCTAGGATCCTTTTAGGGCGAGTCAAGATCAATTGAACAACTTTGGTGTTCTTATTTATTATTAATACTGCTAAAGTAAAAATGTCACCACTCGAGGATCCTTTTAGGGTGAGCCAGGACCAATCGAACACCTTTGGTGTTCTTCTTCATGATTAAAGCCTATAATTTTGCATTGATAAAACAAAAAATGTCTCAGATACTAGTTTCATTTAGACAATAAGTGATGGAATATAACACGGGGTAGACATTTTTGTTTTTAATTTAAGTTGGAATATAGATGCAATTTCACTAGCAATGTAGTCTAAGGGGCATTTTTTATCTTCTCTCAGAAAACACTTCCAAGAAGATCACTAGATCAGTAATAATGAGGTCAGGGCAGTGATGGTTGTTCGTCCAAATGTGTGTGAATTCCAATATTTGCTTCAAAGAGTAACAGTTTTTCTTGTTGCTCTCATTTACTTACGTACAACATTAGTTATGCTTCATAGTATAATTCTTTTTGGCCTATAAAAGTCCCAAGTTCACCAATGAGGCTAAAAGCAGTTGAATACCATGAATTCACACATTTGCTTCATTGTCTACTATAGAAACAATCAGATTAGTTTACTCAACCCCTCTCTTGTAGGTCAAAGAGAGTGTTGTGTGTCACTTAAATAGAAGTTACATATCTGTAAGCAATCAACATGCAAAAGAGGGATTGGATTACAAATACGAGCAGGGAAACATATTTTCTTAATTTTAATTTTTTAATCTTCTAATTATCATCTTTTCCTGTTTTTCATAATTAAAATTCTTGGGTTCAACTTAAATTTATCTTTCTTCAATTCCTCTTGAGTTCTACATGACTGGATTTTCACTTAAGGGTGCTACTCTGTCTTTTACCCCGTGCGGCCCGCGGCAAATTTGCCTGAGACTTGATAAAGTTTACCTTTAGGCTTTAGTTACTTAAGGAACACATGGAGCTTGTTTTTATTTCCTTAACTAGCAATACGTAGGGGTGGTTATGGAAAGTTGGTGCAGAAGGAGTTGGAGTCTCAAAGAGAACTGGTGGATTATGGAACTGGATCATTGGGAAATTTCCCACCTGTAATGCCATCACAATGTAAGTTCAGTTCCACTTCCACCACAGTGTGAATCCTTTTGCTTGTCTTCTAGATGTTTTCAATAACTTGTTAACTTATATTCTTTCTGGAATTTGTTTGAAATATATGTAATCCTTTAGTCTAATTGGTTTCTAGTTGGGGTGGTTCTTCTGTACATTTTGTTTCCCATTCTATGTACTACAGGGTTTTTCTATGAAAAAGTGCTGATGATTTGCTTGTTATTTGGTTTCACATGCCACTTGTGAGGCATTATACTACGTATCAATATTCAACCAGTAGCATTTTTTGTCCGATTATGTTTGTTCTATATGTATTTTTGCTTGAGCAAATAATTCCATATTTCTTGAGGTTTATGCCTTCCTATTTTGTTTTATGCACTCTTAATGTCCTAATGTGTGTTATTTTTTATCATCCTTTTCTAGTTTTTGGCCTAAATGCCCTATTGCTATCAACACTCAAAATGATGTCTGTCTGTTATGTGCAATATTGACTCACATATGATAATCTACTTGTACTCCTTATAGTAAGTAATTGACCTAAAAGCAGACATAAAAGGGTGTTTCCAATGTGAAAACTCTCCCATATCAGAGGGTTTGGATATTACTAAATTAGGGGTTGTTTGGAACTCAGAAAATGCTATGGAAGAAAATAAGGAGGAAAATAGAGGAGAAATTTGGAAGGAGTGAAAATGTGGGGGAAATGAAAAATTCTTCGAATCCAATTTATCAATTTAGAAATTTCTTTAACCTCCTTTTATTTAAATATATCTATGATATAAATTATAAAGACTAAGATATTTAAATATTTGTAAAAAAAAAGTTTTAATCAAATATGGTTCTCATTCATATTTTCAAAGAAAATTGAATTAAAAAAAGTATTTGTTGCTCGTCCCCCTTTCTTTAACATTTTCCAAGTTCCTTCATAGCCTTGGGGGGCGGGGTCAGGCCTCCAAGGAACTCGGGATGTCTAGGATGTCAGTGAAGAGACTTGAATATTCTCCACTATTGCACCATTCCTACTCTTCCCATCAGCAGAGTAGAAAACCATAAGGGGGACGAGAAGAAAAATTAGTAGCTTACTTTAGCAAAATATTGTAATTGAAAATATTTAATCCTTCCATTTTGTATTATTTGATGCTTTAGGATAAAATACTAGTATTAAGAAGGGTTTTTTTGGTTTGCTTATTGCGCCAATCTTGCATCCCCCTTTTGTAGGCTTGGAAGGATTAAGAGATAGTAAATATATTTAATAACTATGGAAATGTCAAATAATCAAATTATTAAGCCTAAAAGGGTGTTGGGAACTAGGGAATGCCATATAATAACTAAAGTAAAAGCTATTTTTCGCATTAAATAGATCAAAAGACATAGTACCACAGCAAAATGTTACTCCCTCCGTCCCACTAACAATGGGACGAGAGGGAGTGACACACAAACCGATAAAAGTGGTTTATGTGGTTGATATTGAATTGATAAAGCAAGAATAAAGTAAGAATGATTTAGAGCAACACAAATTTTACCAGATTTGGTATGGGACAATCTTAGTGGGACAAACCGAAAAGGTAAAATGGGACAATCTTAGCGGGATGGGGGAGTAAAACATGAACTAATAAAAAATAGAGGGAGTAGTAAACTAAAAACTGAGTTTACTCCTATCATCTCAATTACTTGTTGACAACTGATGTGTAACAGATGGTCGGCATGGTGGGCATCAAGGTCATGGAGGTTCTAATCGGCATGGCAGAGGTGGTCCCATAAACAGCTAACTACTTAGGCATGCGTTCCTTCAATTGTTCTATAATTACATTGTTCATTAAGTCTATTTTTTCTTTTAATGCATATTTCGAGGAACAGATTACCACCGCAAGCGGAATCGAGATGATGACCGTCCTAGACTCGATTACTCAAAGAGAGTTTACCGTCGTGAACCTACAAAAGATTCCGACCAGGAAGCTCGACCGGTAAATGTTTTTGTTTCTGAATTAAAAAAAAATACCGTCCTTCAAGATCTCTCTGTTTTTATCATTATTTAGCATCATTTCCTGCCAACTTGATATACTTTGATGTTTTGATATATTTGCATGGGAACCATCTAATTACTGGTAGTTTGGTGGTCTGAATTAAAAAGAGAGTTCCACTTTTGGTCACACAACTATTTAGCCGTTCATCCACAAGACCGCAACTTTCATTTTCCCACTTTTTGGTGCACGACTGATTTTTTTGCAACCTTTGGTCCTCTCTGGCCACTTGTCCTGCAAAAATCAACCAAAAATTGTACGGAAATTAACCTGATAAATGGTCAGAAGAACCTTAAGTGACCATAAATCTCTAGTCTGGACTGGAAGTAGAAACATGAAAGTTAGAGACCAACAATGAGAATGACCAAAAGTGGAATATTTTCTGAATTGAATTTCTGGGAAGCGGAGTTGAGTTGCTATGAACTAGATAAAAAAACAAAATGACGTTTGGAATGAAAAAGGTTTATCCAAATTTTTGGGAATTGGGCCAAAGTCATGACAGAGTATACCTAATATCTGGAATCTGGGATTCTCTGCAATCTCCTATTTTCTACAAAGTAACTTTTTCAGACATGAATATGGTATTGGTTTGGAGGGAAGGGAGGTGAGATGTTATATTTCCTTTTAAGAACAACAACATCTGTAGTGTTACAACTTCATGATATATACAAAATAAATGTTAATTTAGTATAAACCCAATGTTATTTATTTTTAGTATAAAAAGGATAAATCAGTATAAACTTAAGATAATTTATTTAATATTACCATTAAGCATATATAGTCCTATTTGTAGAATAAAAAATAACTACTTTCCACACATACTCCAAACCATCCCTTCAAAAATATGCCCTTACCCTTTAAAAGTGTATTTGGCAATTCTACTTCGTAGTGCATAATATGTCCTTGTCCTTGCAGGAAAAGAATCCACGGTTCCGTGAGAGTGGTGACTCAGATGAGGAGGATGACGATGATAGGAAGCGGTCCCATTAGATATCTCTGTAGTTCACTTCAGAAACTCTTTACACTGGAAAAAGGAATGACCAGTCTTGTTGTTCCCTTTTCAAGTTCACTTTTCTTTCCTATATCCATTGTGCTTGATTTGTCACCTAAGTAGCATTTCTAGGCTTATTGGTTTGCATTAGACTTTCCAAAAGAAGAAACTAGTCTCTACTAAAATTCAGAATGTGTATGATCTCCATGGATGCTGTAGAAGTGGCCCCATTGCTGGCTTTGTAATTTCATATTCCAGTCTTCCAATTGATCTATTATTATAAAGAGGTCAAGTGAAATATTTAATGCTTCACTTTTGAAATTGTAATTATGGTTGACATGATTCTGGTTCTTTACTTAAAAGTCTGAAACAATAGGTTCTGAGATTGTAATGCTGTAATAAAAAATGTTCGGTTTTAGTTGTGTCAAATTTCAGATCGGACCAAATTTGTTCGCAAGTGTGAAGTTCATACACATTGAAAATTGAAAAAAAAATATGACCCGGGCCGGTTCGCCCAAAACTGGGCCCGAGCCCGGCCCGCCCGACCCGCCCAAACGGGCTAAAAGCCTGGAACCAGGCAACCGGTCCCGGTTCGGTCTGGGCCCAAACATTAACGGTTCCAGGCCAGTTCCGGCCCGGCCCGGCCCGACCCAGTCCATCCCTAGGGTAAAGGCCTTGACCCGGTTAGCACCAATTGAGACAGTCCGGGCCCGCACAGTAGCGGGCCGGGCCGAACCCGTTGAGTCCATCCTTAGTCTTGAACTGGAGTTGGATCGAGTCCATCCTTAAGGATTACTTCTAAGTTGTAACTTGTAAGTAGGGGTGGACTCGGCCCGCTACTGTGCGGGCCCGGCTCGCTACTGTGCGGGCCCGACCCGCTACTGTGCGGGCCCGGCCCGGCCCGGTGAACCAGTTCCGGGCCCGGTGGGATGGCGGTTCGGGCTCGGGCCCTTCAAAAGGTGTTCCGGCCCGGCCGGTTCGGGCCCGGCCCGGCCAATTTTTTTGTTTTTTTTGTTTTTTTTTGATTTTTTTAAGTTTTTGGGTTGGGCTGGGTATTTTGGGCCATTTGAGGTGGTTAGGGTTGGTTTGGGGGTGAGGGGGAGGGTTGGGGGTTAACTAGGAAAAGCCAAAAAAAAAAAAATAGAATCGAGGCCCGACCCGGCCTGGCCCAGCCCGGCGTGGCCCGGACCCGGGGGTTACCCGGGCCGGTTCCGGGCCTCCCCTTCTTGAACTAGGGGTGGACCGGTTCCGGTTCAGGCCCGGTTCGGGCCTGGGCCCGGCCGGGCCTCGGTTCAAGAAGGGGAGGCCCGGAACCGGCCCGGGTAACCCCCGAGTCTGGGCTGGGCCGGGCCGAGCCTCGGTTCTATTTTTTTTTTTTTGGCTTTTCCTAGTTAACCCCCAACCCTCCCCCTCACTCCCAAACCAACCCTAACCACCTCAAATGGCCCAAAATAACCAGGCCAACCCAAAAACTTAAAAAAAATCAAAAAAAAAAAAATTGGCCCGGCCCGGGCCCGAACCGGCCGGGCCGGTTCACCTTTTGAAGGGCCCGAGCTCGAACCGCCATCCCACCGGGCTCGGAACCGATTCACCGGTCCGGGCCGGTCCCGCGCAGTAGTGGGCCGGTCCGGTTCCGGGCCAGTTGGCCCGGCCCGAGTCCACCCCTATCTTGAATCGAGGCCCGGCCGGGCCCAGGCCCGAACCGGAACCGGTCCATGCCTACTTGTAAGTAGTTTAAGGATTACTTTAATTTCAAGTTCAATACTTCAATCTAGTTTGGTTTTGTAAGATGAACCTAGGGGTGGACCTGGGCCGGGCCTAGGCCCGAACCGCCGGGGCCGATTCATGAAAATCATGGTCCGGAAGTACGGAACCGGCCCGCCAGAACCGCCCAAATCGGGCTAAAGCCCGGAACAGGCTATCCGGGGCCGGTCCGGTCCAGGCTCGCACAGTAGCGGTCCGGTCCGATTCCGGGCCGGTTCGGCCCGGTTGGGTCCATGCCTAGATTAACCTATGCGAATGTCCACACGGGAATAGGGATGGACCCGGGCCGGTCCGGTTCCGATTCCGGGCCAGGCCCGGGCGGGCTTTTTTTGCAAAATGTTGGGCCCGGAACCGGCCCTGGTTGATACCGGGTCCGGGCCTAACCGGGCCGGGCCGGGCCCGGGTCAAGTTCAATTTTTTTTTTGGTTTCTAATTAACACCCGACCCCCCTTCACCCCCACCCCCAAACCCCCCCAAAACACCCAACCCTAACCTAGAAAAGCAAAAAAAATTGAAAAAAATAAAAAAAAATTGAACCGGGCCGGTTCACCAAAAGTTGGGCCCGAGCCCGGCACGCCCAAACGGGCTAAAAGCCCGGAACCGGACAACCGGTCCCGGTCCGGTCCGGATCCAGACAGTAACGAGCCGGGCCGGTTCCGGGTCGGGCCTGCCCGATTTAGTCCATCCCTACACGGGAACATGGGTTGGGATTGTTAAAGCAACCATTACTCTTTACTATCATATTATTTACCACACACTAGGGTGGAGTTGGTCCTAATATAGTCTGGTTCTGGTTCGATTTTAGTCTAACATATTTGGGACCGGTTTGGGTTGGGACTTGGGGTGTCACTGTGTCAGTTCCATCCTAGAATTATTTAAAGAGGCATGTGGCCTGATATTCTACCCAATTAATCCCGGTCTGGACTTGTGATTGGGTTGACCATATCACCATATGTTTGAGGACAATTCTAAGGACTAATTCTATTGCAGTCACGGTTTGTCGGATCGGTCCATTTTCAACTATTTATCTGAGACCAAGTGTTCAGCAATCAGCAGCAATACATCTTATTTGTGTCATCTTACATTCTCACATACAGGGCCGGCCCTGGTGGTGTGCAGGGTGTCCAACCGCACAGGGTCCAAAAATTTGGAATGGCCCAATTTTTTTTTTTGTAGTAGTATACTACTACCTCCGTCCCACTATGATTGTCCCATTATACCTTATCGGTCCGTCCCATTAAGATTGTCTCATACCAAATTTGGTAAAGTTTGTGTGACTCTAAAGCATTCTTACTTTATGAATTCAATATTAACCACATAAACCACTTTTTATTAATTTGCGTGTCACTCCCTCTTGTCCCACATATGTCACTGCGTTATACTGTAATAGTAGTCCATCTGTAACAAAAAAATCTTTTCACTTTCCCTTTTCGTCTGTAACGAAAAAATATTCTCATTTCTAAATCTTCTCATCATACCCTCAATAATTTTGAAAACAATACACTATTGCACCTATTTTTCGGATTTATCCTTCATTCCATCACATTATTCCACTATTTTCTCATCACCCCTTCAATAATTTATACTCTTTCACTATTCTTAATCTACCTACTTTTGAAATGGGAAGGTTTTTAAGTTACGGAAAGAGTATATTACTAGTGAGTTGTGCGTTCATGCCTATCGTTACGTGACTATTCCGGTGGCTGGTTATCGGGAAAAAGTGGGAATTGGCATCTGTAAAACTGGTTTTTGACTAGTTCTAGTCAGCCGAAATGTTCTCACTCGGGTGGGTTAATTGGTGAGCTAGAGTTGTATGGTATGGGGTTTAAAAAAATTATACTGAGTGGGTCAAAGTTTAAGATGATACTGATAAGACCAGTCGAGATTAAAGGGAGATAGAGAAGGATGGTTGATAAATTCACAGAATCTGAATAAACTTCTCAAATGTTTTAGTCCGTGTGGAGAGGACAAGGCTCCTTTCAATATGATAATGCTTATAAATTCTGAACTATGTAGTACGTAGCTAACAGGAAGTATTTATAATAACTATAAAGCAATAGAGTAGTGGGTTAAAGGTTATGCCCATAACCACCTCCACTAATGACTGAAAAATAGCCACAATGTCAACTGCTTCCCAGGAGCAGTTTCTTCCTGCGGGAATAAGTCTTCAGTGGTCTATCAGTACTCCCCCCCTGAAAAGTCACCTTGTCCTCAAGGTGGAAAGAAGGGAACTGCCCGGTGAGTAAGTCATAGTCTTCCCACGTTGCTTCTTCAAGAGGCCGGCCTGCCCATTGCACCAACAACTCTAAATTAGAACCAGAAACCCATCTGTGAGAAAGCACCTTTTCCGGCTGTAACACATGCTCCCAGTCAGTAGATATAGGAAGGGCTGCGGGTGGAACCGAAGGGGTCTGTCCATACGCGGGGCGTAGCAAAGATACATGAAAGATGGGATGGATTTTGCAATCTTCAGGTAGAGCCAATTCGTAAGCAACTGGCCAAAGAAACGAGGAGATAGTTTTTCAAACCGTCGCTTGGACAAAGAACGTTGACGAAAAGGTTGAATCTGGAGGAAGACAGCATCCCCTACCTCAAAAGATAGCTCCCGTCGTTTAGAGTGAGCTTGAGGCTTCATCCGGCATTGAGCTTTTTGGAGATTTCCCCGAAGGAATTTTAGCATAGCATCACGAGACAGTAGTTGTTCCTCTAGATCAGCATTGTTTGTTTCTCCTAGCACAAAAGGGTGTAGAACAGGCGGGTCCCGGCCATAGAGTATTTTGAATGGAGTGGTTCCCGTGGAAGAGTGAAAACCAGTGTTAAAAGAGTACTCAACCCATACCAGATACTTGCTCCAGGAGGAGGGCCGCTCGTGAGCAAAGCAGCGCAGGTAGGACTCAAGAGTGCGATTCACCACCTCCGTTTGCCCGTCAGATTGGGGGTGGTAAGTTGTACCCATGCGTAACCGGGTCCGACTAAGTCGAAACAATTCCTGCCAAAAATGACTCAGAAAAACAGGATCTCTGTCAGAGATAATAGAGCGTGGAAGCCCATGTAGACGTACAATTTCCCTGCAAAAAGAGGTAGCCACAGATTTAGCTGTAAATGGATGAGACAATGGCACAAAGTGGCAATATTTGCTGAATCTGTCCACCACTACTAGAATTGTGTCAAAACCCCCCGATTTTGGTAACCCAGTGATAAAATCAAGTGATATGTCCTCCCAAACGCGATCTGGAAGTGGAATCGGCTGGAGTAGACCTGCTGGTGCCAGCGTCTCATACTTATTTCGTTGACATACCAAACAGTTCTGAACGTAGTGTTTGACATCTTGCTTCAAATTGGGCCATAAAAAACTCTCAGATGCTCGCTTCAATGTTTTCAGGAAACCACCATGTCCACCAGTGAGGGTATCATGGCACTCAGCTAGAATTTTCTGGTGAAGTGATGACGTTCCCGGGATTACCAACCGCCCCTTGTAGAATAGTCTCCCTTCCACCAATGAATAATCAGGGCAACTAGTAGGATCCTGTTGCATTGATGAGA